AAAAAAAAAAAAAAGATCTGGAAGATACGGGTTCTAAGAACAATTCTGTTAATCTCAAGAAAGTTCCTGTTGGTTAGGGACTCAATTTCCCATCTGTCCCAGGAGGTATGGGCTAAGACCAGTGGATTTCAAACTCTTGACAATGACCCACACTACAAACACATTTGACATTGTAACCCAATACTTCTACAGGAAATTAAAATACTTCTGCTTCCTGTCTGCAGCGTACCTCCAAGCTGCCCAATCTACTTCACTTAAAAATGCTAAGCTGACTGGTCACTGATGAGTGGGGGCCTAAGTCTGTGGTGCTTTGCTTGGGTTCTCATCCTCCCCCTGGCTGAGCCCTGCCCCATTCAGTACCTTTTCAAGTGTTCCAGCAGGAAGAGGAAGGTGATGAGGTTGGGATCGGGCAGGGAGCGGAGCAGGTGCATCATGCAGTTCTCCTTGGCAGCAGGGTCAGACAGGGCTACGGGAGAGAAGAGGCTAGGGCAGGGCCTGCTTGGGGCAGGGGAGTATGGTGGGGGGCACGGGAGGTCGGAGGTTGGGGAAAAGCCCCTGTGGCCTTGAGGAAGATCTTGGGGTGAGCCTGGGCTGCAGAGGTAGGTGGTTAGTAGCAGTTCCCCTGGGCACCCCACCAAGGCCTCGTTTTGACAGGCAACCTGGCCAGAAGGCAGGCTTTGGGGCATCCCATTCCTTCCCCCTCCTGTATGGGACATTGTCACAAGTGCCACCCTGACCTCCATTCTATGCTAGATTCAAGCCAGTGGTGACACACCAAGGATGGTTTTCCTAAGGTGGTTCATTCCCTATGGGGATCCTGGTAGGCCTAGGGATGGCCTAAGTAGGGGCAATTAGGGACCCTTAGCAGAAGTGAACGGAAGGAGCGGTGCTAGAAGGCTTAATGTGCCATCCTCAGCGTCCTGTCACTGCCCACCTCAGAGCAGTCTTCCCTGAATGTTGGTGTGTCTGGGCACCCAGGTCATGTATAAGGAGGAAGCACAGAGGGAGAGAGGTTGGCACACCAGGCCCAGCCAATGAAACCTGCTAGTGCCCTGGGCAGGTCAGGCAAGGGAGGCCACAGCTTGTCTCTTACTCGGTACTTCACCATCTAGGAGGCTCTGACTTGGCCCAGCTGACCCTCAGGACCCCAGGGGCCTCACCGATGCCCTCCATGAAAGCTGGATAAAGTCGGTCTGTGAGGAGGGGCTCTGGCAGTTCCCGGAAGTAGAGCTTGAGGGTGCCTGCAATGGCATTGATGTCCATGTCGCTCAGCATCAGCAGGATGTCCTTGTTATCTACAGGGGACAGGGGAGGTCAGGGACTGTGCTGGCCTCTGAGTCATCACGCTTGCCCTAGTAGCCAGTCTGCGGCCCAGCTCTACTCCCCAGATCTGTCATGAGGCAAACCCTACCCATCTTAGCCTCTGACATCCGTCTAGCAGAATACGGGTAGTGCCCTCAGGTTCTGTGACAACTAGGGGCAGGGGAGCAGGGAGACACAGGGTTGGGGGAGAGAACATGGCCTGTCACCCTGAGTCCCAGAGCCACATTCATGCCACATGGCACACACCTTCCGGCTAGAAACCTCAATTACTATGCTCCTCTGGATTGTACATTTTTTTTTTTGCCAGTCCTGGGGCTTGAACTCTGGCCCTTGGTGCTGTCCCAGAGCCTCTGTGCTTAAGGCTAGTACTCTACCACTTGAGCCACAATGCCACTTCCAGCTTTTTCTGATTAGTTTGTTAGAGATAAGAGTCTCATGGACTTTCCTGCCTGGGCTTCAAACCATGATCCTCAGATCTCAGTCTCCTGATTAGCTAAGATTACAGGCATGAGCCACTGGTGCCAGTGCCCAGCTGTACTATACATTTTTGACCCCCAAAGTCAGTTCTGACAAAGCCCCAGCTTCCAGGTCACAGAAGACCTATGTGCCAGCACATTCCTGCCCTCTTCCTTTTGTCTACTGGGCTTCCCTGCTGGGCCCGTTTCGGGCTGGACTCACTGCTGCCTGCCCTGTTAGGATTCCTGACCATTGGGTATGCTGCCAAAGCCGACCCTGCAGGACAAGGTACTTATGTGGAGCAGATCTACTCTAGCAAAAGGGGCAGGAATGGGGGAGCCGGAGCCAGCAGGCCCACGCTCGAAGGCCTTTAATTTCCTGACAGCTCATGAGACACTAGGCATGGAAGGGAGGAACACACACCGTGCAGTCAGAAAGGTTTAAGTCCAGGCTCCAAAGTTCTGAGTTGGGCAACCCTCTAGTTCTTACCTACGTGCGTTAGAGCAGAGTAAGGGTGAGTACAAACATGCACAGATAGCATACTGGTCTTCCTGTGCATGGTGAATTGCAGGCCATAGGCCCAGCCTCTTCTGTTCCACCCTTCCCCCATGGACAAGGCCTTTGGTCTCACTGAGTCCTCCTAACAGCCAGCCCAGCACCTCTTTGCCCTTCCTGGGCCTCCAGACTCACTGGCATCAAAGACAGCCTTCAGAGCCTGGATGTCCGTGGCCACGCCGGATATCCGGTAGATGCCGACCTCCTCGATGCCTCGCTTCTCTACCTCCTCCACACACTGCCGCACGATGTAGGGCACCTTGGAGCGCTCGCGCCTGTGAGGCAGGACTGTGAGGGAGATGGAGGGAGCCTCCCACTGCTAGCTGGCTCCCTCCCCAAAAGAGTTTGGCCTTGGGTAGCTGTAGCCTCTGGGGTTGGGAGTGGGGCTGAGGAAGTTGTGCCATCTTGCCTGCCAATGCCTGCCCACTGAGGCACAGCAAGGGACACGGGTGGGAGAAAGTTTGGAGAGAAAGCCCAATGACTCTGGGGAAAACACGTTCCCTTGGATTTGAATGTTTGGGAGAGAGGAGCCTAGGGCTATAGCCCAGAGGCAGAACACTTGCAGGAATTCCTGGATTCCATCCCAAGCATCCCAAGGGAAAAAAATGCGTATGTGTGTGTGGGGGGGAGTGAGGGACAACAGGTAAGCCACGTGAGGGAGTTGGGGGTCAGCCCCAGAGACAAAGAGCAGTGGGGGGTGACTTAAAGGGTCCTTCCTCAAGGCTACTCCCTAGACTCTTAAGACTCCAGCCTGGGGTCACCAAGCCCAGATGCAGGCCTGTAATTGTCCATTTTTCCTATTTACTGTAAGAAGTGGACACTCTGGGCTTTCCCCATGGGACCTCCCCTATCCAAACCCCCCTCTTCCCCCCCCCCCTGTTTTCAAGCTGGCTGTTAACTTTGATGGTATGGAGCAGGCAGAACTCTATGGGCCACTTCCGGCCTCCAAACTGGCCACCTGTGACTGGGAGTGGGGGTGAGGGTGAAGGGGGGGGTGGGCGTGACTGATCAGTTACTGCTAGGGAAAAGGAGTCCCAGAGGCGGGACTCTAGTGGAGACCTAGTACAGACACCAAGAACATGGACCCCTGGAGCAGCACCTACTTCGTCACCACGCTGATCTTCACCCCGAAGACACCAGTCTGCTTTTTGGATGGGGTCCTCTTCAGGCTCATATCCCGGCTGGTGAATTTCATGGAGAATTCCACTTTGATCTTTTTTTTTTTTTTGAGGGAGGGTAGACAAAATCCAGAGCATGAGTATCCCAGGAGTGTCCACAGGGGTCTCCCCTTCCCAGGACTGCCAGCAGGACTCCCAGTACCCCAGGGCTTCTGCATCTGGGAGTGGGGCAGGTGGGGCAGAAGAAGGTGAGAGAGCTGGACAGGGTAGATGGGAAGTAGAGGCAGAGGCCAGGTGTGTGTGTGTGTGTGGGGGCACACACCCACTGCTTAGACAGCTCTCATCACCCAGGCTCACCCCGTTCATCTCGATCACATCCGTGTGCCAGTTCTTGGTTTCTACAGTTTGTGGATCCAACTGCAAAGAGAAAAGCCACGGAGGCGTGGGGGTGGGGAGACGGAGAGACAGAGGAGGGAGAGAATTAGAATCAATGAGGGGGACAATTCAGAGACCAGGTCAGCAGGCACTCCCCACTGCTGCTCAGCAGCTGCCTTAATTAAATGACTTCAAAATCCACCCTCTGGGATGGCCAGCACCCTCAGGCTCCTTTAGCTGTCTAACTGTATGAAGGAAATGGGTACCCATGATCCGCACTGCTTCCTGACAGCACACTGTGAGATGGATATTGTCAGCCCATTTCACAGATGCAGCACCTGAGAGTCACCAAGGTAACCAGTGTGCTCAACCACGTAAATTAGCATTGTCTGAGGAGATCCAACCCCCAGCCCATGCAAGTCGGGGTGTAGTACAAGGCAGAGAGCCCATTCCCAGCAGTGGGGCTTGCCTGGGTTTGAGTCCAGGGTCTTCAGTTTCTGGTGATGGACTTGGGCAAGGTTTGACAGAGCCTCCCTGGCTTGTTCTGAGGACACAGTTTGCTAACAGGCTAACCGGCTTCCACACAGGTGAGCCCTCCTCAGGAAGCCTGGCTGGAGCCCAGGAAGAGTGGCAGTTGGCAGCAGTTAAGGCCTGCCTAACCCCAGGATCATCTGTTCTGCTAACTCAGTGCAGTGTCCTTCAAACCATTTTTCTTGGGCACCCACAACTTGATTTTGAAAACCACGTACTTGCTACCTACATTTTTAAGTCAGCAGCTCAACATTTCTATGGCAAGTCTGAAGAGCTGCAAAGAATATAATTTCCAAAATAATGTAAATATTGACATCTCAAAATACAACACATCGTTCTTTATATGTATGCAGTGGAACCTAATTACCACAGTGATTTGATACCCACTATCATCCACTTAAAAACACTCAAACAAGCTCTTCTTTCTCCTGAACAAACACTACATTGTCTTTTTCTCCTTGAACTTACGTTTCTCTTCATTTCTCTTCAAGAGATTTCTCTTAGTTTATATTTTTATATTTATTTAGTTCCCTATTATACTTTGCTCCTCAAATATGCACCTATATATTGAAATGAAAGATTCCTTGAGACTACAAGGCTTGGGTGTGTACAGCATATTATTCTGGGTTTATTAACATGATTAACAGTGCACTATGAAAATAATCCACTCCAGTACAGACTTGAATAGACACTACAGAACTCTATCTCTGTATTATAGGTAGAACATTTCTACTTGTAGTTCACATTTCTATGAATATTATTTTTGAGAGTAAAATGTGGGTTAGCACCAACTCGATTCATGCATTAGGTTTTATTTTGTTGGGCATAGGGCTTGAACTTGGGGCCTGGCTGCTATCCCTGAGTGCTTTTTTTGTTTGTTTGTTTGTTTTTCGGTCATGGGGCCTGGGCGCTATCCCTCAGCTCTTCAGCTCAAGGCTAGCGCTCTACCACTTGAGCCACAGGGCCACTTCTGGTTTTCTGAGTGGTTTATTGAAGATGAGAGTCTCACAGTCTTTCCTGCCCAGGCTGGCTTTGAACCATGATCCTCAGATCTCAGCCTCACGAGTAGGTAGGATTATAGGTATGAGCTACCAGTGCCTGGCCTCCCTGAGTGCTTTTACTCAAGGTTAGCGCTCTACCACTTTGAGCCACAGCTCCACTTTCGGTTTTCTGGTGGTTAATTGGAGATAAGAGTCTAAGGGACTTTCTTGTCCAGGCTGGCTTTGAACCATGATCCTTAGCTCTCAGCCTCCTGAGTAGCTAGGATTAGAGCAGTGAGCCACTGTCACTTAGCTATGTTTTATTTTAAAAGTTGTAAATAGCCAGGTGCTGGTGGCAATTTTGTCTGCCAAAGCAGACAAATCTGAGACATTAAAGAGCTAGAAGTGGATCTGTGGCTCATGCGGCACTACCTTAAGTGAAAAAGCTCAGTGAGAGCAAGAGGCTCTTAGTGCAAGCTCCAGCACTAGTACGCAAATGCACGCACACAGGCAAGTGCACATGCACACACGCACACACACTGTTGTAAAACAAGCCGTAAATATTTTCTTCACATATCACTAGATGAATGACATAGTGTAATAGTATCACTGTTAGGAGACTCTTTTTTTTTTTGGGTCCAGTCGTGTGGCCTGAACTCTGGGCCTAGGCGCTGTCCCTCAGCTCTTCAGCTCAAGGCTAGTGCTCTACCACTTGAGCCACAACGCCACTTCCGGCTTTTTTCTTTTTGCTTATGTGGTGCTGAGGAATCAAACCCAGAGCCTCAGGCATGCAAGGCAAGCACTCTACCACTGAGCCATCTTCCCAGCCCCTGTTAGGGGAGTCTTTTTTTTTTTTTTTGAGTCCGGTCGTATGGCCTGAACTCTGGGCCTGGGCGCTGTCCCTCAGCTCTTCAGCTCAAGGCTAGCGCTCTACCACTTGAGCCACAGCTCCACTTCTGGCTTTCTTTTTGCTTATGTGGTGCTGAGGAATCAAACCCAGGGCCTCAGGCATACAAGGCAAGCGCTCTACCACTGAGCCACTTTTCCAGCCCCTGTTAGGGGAGTCTTAAACTTCTTTCAAGGTTGCCTTAAACATTGGTAGCTCAAACCTATAATCCTAGCTACTTGGAAAGTGGAAATCAGGAGATCACAGTTCCAGACTAATCTGGGCAAAAAAACAACTTTATGAACCTCCATCTTGAACAGTAACTGTGTTTGGTGGTGTGTGCCTATCATTCCAGCAATGTTGAGAAGCACAAATAGGAGGATCACAATCTAGCCTGTCCTGGGCATAAAAGCAAGACCTATCTGAAAAAATAACACACATAGAAAAGGCTGGTAGGCTAACCATTGGGGGCTCATACCTTTTATCCTAGCTCCTCAAGAGGCTGACATCAGAGATCACAGTTTGAAGCTAAACCAGGCAGAAACATTCTTGAGACTCATACCCAATTAACCATAAAAAGCAAGAAGTATAGGAGTGGTACCAGCCATGAACAAGGAAGGAAAAAGCCCTGTGAGAGTGCCAGGCCTTGAGTGTAAGCCCCAGTACTGGCGCAACAAAGAAAACAAAAAGGCTGGTGAAATGGCAGAGTACTTGCCTAGCGTTGACTTCAAACTTCCCAAAAAGAAAAAAAATTACCCATACACTTATCAAACATTATTTTAAATGCTCTTGGCTAATAACTGGGTCATTAGATTGGTAGTAGGCAACCTGACTTTCAGAGCCATTAGTGTCTTACTTTCTCAGCACCTCCACTGACATTTCTAAGCCCCTGTGGTGTTACTCTGAGCATCCTGGGCCACACCCTACAGAGAGCCTGGCTTAGCCTAGCACAGGCAGAGGGGGGCAATGGTGAGGACAGCATGTTTTCCTGCTCATCTTGCCCAGAGAACTCTCTGCACTCTTACTGGTATGTGTACCTCTAAAAGGCCACTGTCCCCTCAGAAGGGAAAGGAGATCTGGGTCAGCCTAGATTCTTCAGGTACTATCACCTGTGGCAGATAGCTGTGGGATGGCTGTGGCCCAGGCTCTGTCTTCAGGACTCACTATCCCCCTCCCCCAGGAGGGGCCATGTTGAGAAGAGGAGGCAAAGAAGCAGAGTGAGATGAGACACCATTTGGGAAGAACCCCTGCCCCCCCAGGATCTCCTCAAATAAAGTCAGCATGAGGCAGCCACTGGCTTGGCTGCTGCCAGGGCTCTGGTCTGGGGTATGTGAGGCCCAACAGAAGCCCTGACTTTAGCCTCCCTTTCCTGAAACCTCCCTCCTCTCTCAATTCCTTTGGTCCTTGGCCCTCCCTGGATTTGCTGCACAGACTGCCTCCCTTGGACAGTCTTTCCATCTAGAGGTAGAGGGATAGCAACTGTTCTTCATCAGCAAGATGAGGCAGACAGGTTGCTGGCATATGATCTTCGCACTGAGCTGGAGGTGGGTCTCTCCAGGCCTTAGCAGGGTCTCAGTGTTGGCTTGGTTCACCTCCTGCCCCAGTGTCCCATGACCTGGTATCTCCCATCAGCGGCTCTGAACTGCTGAGCCCATGTGCTGTGTCCTCTCTTTCCTCCCCCTAGTTGTGACGTGACGCATGGACACAGCCTGGCTGTGGAGAGGGAAGGGATGGAGAGCTCTGCTGACTTGACTCTTCTATGTGGGCAGGTCACCACCCCTTCCCAGCCTACCTCACAGGGCTGTGTGACAGTCTGAGCATTTTCTCTGAGTCTGACACTAACCAAACCGTTGCACACTTGTCAGGAAACAGAGGCCCAGAGAGCAAGAGAAACCCCTCGGGAGCAAGAGAAACCCCTAGGGAGCAAGAGCTGAAGCAAAATTAGGTCTTCTTGATGCCCCCTCTCTGAGGAAGCCACTGCACAATGTATCTCCCCTGCTGTCAGCACTTCTTGACAAGAGTGGCAGCTGCGGTCCCCATGATTTACCAGAAAGGGGACAGCAGGCTTCCTGACCTGGGGTCTGGAGTTCTGGCCACTTAGAACATAAACTTCCTGTTCCTCTCCATCACATGGGCCCATTTTCCTGGGACTGTTTGGAGAAACAACTCCTGATGCTAAGGTCCAGTTTTAGTTCTCCTACCTGCTGAGTCCTCTATTTCCCTCTGCCTTATGTTTCCCTCCATAACCTTCCAAGGCCTTTCTGAGGTATCTGGGTAAAGTGCCCCTTACCTCTTTTGTCCTAAGTCCCTACATTGACATCTTCCTGGCTTGTGCAGCAGGTGTGGCCCTTGTACCTGCTCAGAAAGGCCCAACTCAGTCCCTCAGAACACTGATGACGCTCTGTTTCCCAGGAGGTCAGCAGCCTCCCAAAGCAAAGTCTATTTCAGGATGTCATTTAAATACAGAAAAAGGAGGGTGGAGAGTGGAGAGGGACATGGCACATTTTCCAGAGCAATGATGTTGCCTGAACTGCTGTGACTATTTATAACCCCTGGGAAATGTGGACTCTGCTATTTCCTGATTAGATTAGTGTAGTGTTGGGGTGGAGGACCAACCCCTGGGACTTGAGGGCAGGGATACCTGA